ACTACTGAAGGTGCCTACGCACAAAAATGTCGGTGCAGAAGGTGTGATCGGCGACTTCTTCAACGATACGTATACACTGTGATATGCGGGAAGGTTGTCACTCGCCCCCTCACTAGGTGTTGCCATATGGCATTTTAATAATCAGTATCATTTTGTTTCCTCTTTTCGGATTGTTGCTGATAATGACCCCAGAATGATGGCGAGGTTGGTCGATGAGCAGGTATAAACAGGAAAAAACTTTTAATATGAAGCAGTAAAGATCTCTGCACATGCTGAAGCGACGCCGCCTCAGAGAGAACGAGGCTGTTGCGCTTCATAACGAAGGGTTCGGCGCCCTGAATTAGTCAGTGGGTGTCTGAGAACACCGCTGCCACGATGGATGCGGCGATACCTGCCGACTGGTGCTACAGACGACAGGTCTCAGGCGGCGATCCCCTTCACCACCTCGGATGACCAGGTTGAAGTGGTTTTGTTGAAATTGCGCGCCGTTAATAACCTTGTACCGGTATCACAAATAATTTTGGTAACAGAGCTCTCATATTTCTGCCTCTATTTATCACTTCTTCCGACCTCATTATAACGGTTTTGTTTCCTTGGCCAGGCACCGCCTTAACATCTTTGAACAACTCTTACCTACAATGCCTATCGTCTGCTGGTCTCAGAGGTGTTCACCTACAGGTATGCACATTTGTAGAGTATTGCATCAACCCAATATGCTGAAATGCGTGTTATAGAGACTGTTGGCTTGCAAGCACAGGGAATGGGGAGGGAGGCAGAGAGAGGAAGGGAGGAGAAAAGGAAGGAAGAAGGAAGGTGGGAGGAGGCTCCCTGCCACAGAGCTGGTGTCACAACACTTATGGCATATTGGTCAGGCTCAACAACCTCTGGCCTTGTGAGGTTATTGAGTATTAGTTAATTAGTGTTTTCTTATGCTCTCTACATAAACAATGGTGCCAAGTATGTATACAGTATTCATATCTTAAAATATTTCACCAGTAATGCTATGCTGTATAATAATACAACTCAAAATATTTTTTTCAATTGTTTAATCAGTATTCTGTACATTTTCATGGGTGCACATTGGTACATATATTATTGCGGTGTAAAGTAACATATTGTACAAAATAACATGTATCAGTGGTAAAAAAAACAAAAAACTACTGGAAACTTGAGTCAGTTCATAATGTATATATACAACCTCACGGCCAGACACTTCCTGGAACAATACTTTGACCGATAACTTACACTAAAGTTCCCTGTAGCCTCGCTTGCTGTACAGACTCAATATTGCTCTCAAGCCAATGATCAATGTGTCGTGTGAAGAATGTTTTGCTCATAGACGGTGTGATATATTTGTCTGCCTTTGTAAATAGTTTATATGGGTGCTCTCTCTGCCTTAAATAATAGTATGATAGAGGTGTTTGTAAACTATATGCTCATAAGCAAAGAGACAACTTGCTACACTGGGCTCACCTCGAGAGATGCAGAGATGGGTGGCATGCCACTTTGTCAGCTGGTTTACACAGAGGACAAAAACTCCTATAACTATCTAATTCTGCTTCTGTTATAATGACCTCTATTACTTTCCTATTTTGGCCCTGTAATAACTTCTGATGATTTGTGCAGTGACTTATGTGGTAACTATTTAACATGTATACACTGCTGGTACAATAAATATAGAGAATTAAACAATGTATAGAACTAATGCCTGAAGTTGTTTGCTCTGATGTACTGTAACACTGGCATGACTGTCTAACTTTAACATATACTACTCCTCACATCAGCGAGGCCTTGTCTCGGTGTGGCGACTCGGTCTGTCCCTCCTTGATATTACGTGAATAGCGCGCCATCGCCTTGTCTTGTCGTGTTCTCTACCTTCTTCTTAAATGCATCAATGGGCTCTGACAGGATCATGTATCTCTAGGGGTCTGGGGAGAACAAGATAGATTAAAGTATATGTCTGTGCAGTATTTCTGCCAAACTTGCCAAAATGGATTTACTGTGACCCACAATCATAAATTTAAACTTATTAAATGACAAGTTGTCAATCGACAGCATGAAAAGGTTGGAAATTGCTACTGGCCAAAGTTTAAGCATAATGGTTTACAACAATTCTAAATTCTCTAGGAAGAATTTCACAAAACTGATATTAAAATAGAAAGCAAGAAGGTCTTGGTTTTTCCATTTTTAGCAATATTCTGGGAATCTTTCTTCACCTGCTTCGCAATTTACGATAATTAAGTGTTCTTTGGTGAAACCTCTAAATCTTTTCAAATATTCTCCAAGACTTTTGTTTAGGCAGGGGTTGGACCCTGTTTAGCTTGTTATTTCATGACGGGTGGCCCACTGTCACCAGATTGATATGCACTGACAGGTGGCACTGTCACCCAGATTGTTGTACATGACAGGTGAGACCCTGTCACCCGCTTAATTGTACATGACAGGTGGCCCACTGTCACCAGCTTATTTATTGTACATGACAGGCCACTGTCACCAACATTGCATTTGGCCACTGCCAGTTTGTTGATGTGACCAGTGGCCACTGTCACCAACGTACATACGCGGCAGATATTTACTGTCACCAGCTTGTTGTTGTGTACATGACAGGTGGCCACTGTTCACCGGCACGCCACGATACTATGACAGAGTGGCACTGTCACCAACTTATTTGTACATGACAGGTGGCCAGTGTCACCAGTTTGTTGTACGCGACCGTTAGCCACTGTCGCAGCTTGTGTACATGACCGGGTGGCCTGTCGCCAGCTTGTTGTCCCTGCAACAGGTGGCCACTGTCACCCTAGCTTGTTTATTTCACAACAGGTGGCCTGTCGCTTAACATTGCGCGCAGCCAGGTGGCCAGTGACCACCAGTTTGTTGTGCATGACAGGTGGCCTGTCACCAGCTTGTTGTTCCTAGCCAGTGGCTGTACACTGTCACCAACATTTGTTTTGCAACGGTGGCCTTTCCATCACCAGCTTGTTGTACATGACAGATGGCCCACTGTCACCGGTGTTCTCGACAAAGGTGGCCACTTATCACCAGCTTGTTGTTCTACTCGACAGGTGGCCCTGTCTGTGATATTGTTACGACAGGTGGCCACTGTCACCGCTTGTTGGCCATGTGAGTGTACTGTCTAACATTATTGTGTGTGTGTGTATGAGTTCTGCTCTCACAAGCTTGTTGTACATGACAGGTGCAACAAGACACTGTCACCAGCTTGTTGCACATTACGCAGGCCACTGCTAAAGCTTTTTGTTCACAAACAAATTGCACATCACCAACTTGTTGTTCATTACAGGGGCCACTGTCACCAGCTTATTGTTCAACAGGTGGCCACTATCACCAACTTGTTCACAACAGGTGTCCACTGTCCAGCTTATTTGTTCACAACAGGTGGCCACCATACCAGACTTGTTATTTCCAACAGGTGGCCACTATCCAGCTTATTTGTTCACAACAAATTGGCCACTATCACCAGCTTATTTATTCACAAGGTGACCTCACCAGCTTATTTGTTCCACAACAAGTGGCCTATCACCAGCTTGTTGTTCACAACGGTGACACCATCACCAGCACTTATTTGTTCACAACAAATTGCCCTATCACCAGCTTATTTATCACAACAGAGTGCCACTCATCACCAGCTACAACCACCACCAACATCGTTCACAACAGGTGGCCACTATCACCAACATTGTTTCACAACAGGTGGCACCATCCCAGCTTGCTGTTCACAAGGTGGCCACTATCACCAGCTTGTTGTTCACAACAGGTGGCCTATCTCGCTTATTTGTTCACAACAGGTGGCCTAGTCACCAGCTGTTGTTCAAAAAGGTGGCCTGTCCCCTGTAGCTTATTTGTTTCACAACAGGTGGCCTATCCTGTGATTATTTCACAACAGGTGGCCCACTATCACCAGCTTGTTGTTCACAACAGGTGGCCACTATCCTGGCTTGTTGTTCACAACAGGTGGCCACTGTCACCAACTTGTTGTTCCAATGGGTGGCCACTATCACCAGCTTGTTTGTTCACAACAGGTGGCCCATATCACCAGCTTGTTGTTCACAACAGGTGGCCACTGTCTGCTTTTTTTCACAACAGGTGGCCACTGTCACCAGCTTGTTGTTCACAACAGGTGGCTACTATCACCAGCTTGTTGTTCACAACAGGTGGCCACTGTCACCAGCTTGTTGTTCACAACAGGTGGCCACTATCACCAGCTTTTGTTCACAACAGGTGGCCACTATCACCAGCTTGTTGTTCACAACAGGTGGCCACTATCACCAGCTTGTTGTTCACAACAGGTGGCCACTGTCACCTGCTTTTTGTTCACAACAGGTGGCCACTATCACCTGCTTTTGTTCACAACCTGGTGGCCACTAATCACCAGCTTGTTGTTCACAACAGGTCTTACTATCACCAACATTGTTCACAACAGGTGGCCACTGTAATCCACCACCTACACTCCAGTGGGTTTTTCCCCAACCAAGCATTATAAAGTTGAATGTGTGTATGATGCAACCACGACTGTATATATGTACTATCGCATACATATAATAAGACTTAAAAATAGGGTTCAGATCTTAAACACTCTGAGAATCATATTACCTTAATGTTATACTGAATGAAGTTCACAGAGGGACTTTCTGTATTTTTTCCGTTTTGAGTCGATAACATCTTTTAGGAAAATGATTAAATAACACTGACAGAAGGAGAATGTTTGTATTTACTGTATTCTTGGCACAAAATGGCTTGCCAGACTAGAAAAATAACTTGGAGCCAGTGTGACAGAACAGTACAGTACAGTGTTATGACCTCTATCAGCAACAGTCCATGAAGGAGTCACAACTTCAAACTTTTTGTTGGCTCTGTCTAATCCTCCTCCTTCTCTTCTGTACAATCCTTACCTCAATAATAATAAGAAACCAAACATAATTTTCCTCTTCATTATATCCAGTCAAAACAACTTACAACCAAGGGAAAAATTATGTAACTCACTATATCAGAAATTATGTTGGTTTCTGAAGACTTCTCACAATGTTCTCAAACTCTGCCACTTGTTCCTTCTGACCAGTTTCCTAATGCTGCTTCAACACACTTCACCTGCCAAGACCAAACACCTTTATACAGGTAAAGCCGAGATGTGATATTTCACTACAAGCGATGATGTAAATTAACACCATCTCCTTATATACGATTAAAACAAATCACTTTAATGACATCCATCAAACCTACCGATAGCCATTGGTCAGATTTGTTTTAATGTGATACTCTGGGTTATTTACAGCAATACCCGATTTACACGGTCAATTGAACCCGCAAAAGCGGCGATGTAAATGGAGTAACAGAACATATGGGATTAATTGAAGAAATAGAGACTGGGCCGACTCCCAAACTCCACATTTTCCTTCACAATACCTATGTTGTAGTAAAAATAACATCTTAATTCTATGATGGTATGCACACACAATTAATATTTAAGAAATACAGTCGCCAGGTTAATGTCCATTCAAATAATGGACTCAACTCCCATGCCCCCCCTCTTCCCACGCTGGCTCCTCCCTCTCTGAGAAATGTTTGGGAGAAAACACTAGATTTCAAGGTATAGTAATAAATAATACCTCAAACTAAAGTTAGGATAATATAATTGACATTGCTGGCTTCCTTGCAAGACCAGGAATATTTTGAATATACACCTCATATATTTTGCACAAAAGATAACATATTTGCTCTGGTAAACAAAATTCTTACATTAGGTCTAAAATTTGTATGTCTAATGCAAAATCTATGATGTTTTATATTCAAAATGATCATCATATTAATAGAAATTCAGCAATGTAAATTATATTCACAACGGAAATAATTTGTGATTTTATAGGCTAAATAAAAAATTATACTTCACCAGCGTATGTGTAGGCGCGCAGCGCGTAAAAGTAAGAATTCGGTTCTGGCAAGGTACGCGTAAATGTAAGCATAACAGACACTGCATCTCTACCTTCACTTGTCAGCCTACCCAAGCACGCCATAGCCAACCTTCCCACTACAGCCCTGTGTTTGGTTCTTTGTCGATCACCAGCGCCATCACATGGCTCCACGAATATTGGCCAGCATGTACATTGTACTAATCATCGATTGTTATTTTTACTTATACTGTACAGTGAAAGGACAGCACCAACCTTTAGATTGACCTGTTTTATGGTGACTGTGAAGTGATATTTTCTTTGTTTATGTGATGGTAAAGTGTGTCGCCTCTGTTTCGTGAACATGTGTACTGTCTTGAGCTGGCGATATCACTGTGGTTACGTTGTCATCCCTGTTTTTCTTACAGTTAACTAAACACCACAGGTTAATACTATACATTACAGTAATATTTTGGCACATTAAATGGAACTTCGAAGTGATGCAGTGCAAATATACAGTGGAGTACAGTACATTACACTACAGGTTAAAACTGCACTTACAGTAATATTTTGTTAAGTTTTGTGACTACCTGTAGTACCTGTATAGTTAGTGAGAATGGCAAGTAAGTGTGTTGCTGAGACCCTGCATCGATGAAGCCAAACACCCGAACTGTGTCTCTGGGTGAAGTTTAACTTTGTGCAGTGGCATGAGATGGGTGAAGGGCGTGCTCTATTGCTGGAGCACTTGGCCTGGCCCAGACTACCATGACTTCTATCATCAAAAATGCACTGGCCTCTTATGGAAAAGGATGCCATCAAGAACGGCCAAAAGATAAAGAAGACTGCACCAGGCTTCAGGCAGCCAAGTCCTACTTTGCTGCTGGCAGGAATGCTGAGGGGGACCAAGTTGACTCCATGCTGGTGTACCATTCTGAGAACCTTAGAGCTCTTAAGGTGTCATTTATTAAGGACATCTCCCAGTCATCTGGCACTCAATGAAGGCCTGGACAACAATAGTGTTGTGCCAGAGTTATAGTTGGCTACCTCTCAGGCACCTCAAGAATGCGCCGAGAAGCACAACAACGTAACAAGCTTATCCCGATCCTTGACAATGGCCATTGCACCAGGGTGATGTTTCTGGCCTCCAGCCGATGGATCAGGGTGTCATCTACTTGAGGAGGTTGATGAAGCACCAACACAACATCAACAAGTCATGGAAGGTCACACAAAGCTGCATGAAATACAGTGTGCGAAGTGCTTTCCGCGACTTTAATTGGCTTCACTGATGTTGTAGCTGTACACTGTGACATTACAGCATCTCCCAGGAAGCCAGCTTTCAGGAAGGTGGATGAACAATGTGGCTGAGGTCTTGGAGAGCCACTCTAAGAGCTCAGCACAGAGGACCTGCTGCTCCTGGAACAGCAACAGATTGGAGGGTTAGCAGGTGAGGGGGAAACACCCTGCACCCGTGGCTGACTCTGAAGGTGTTGAACACAGCCATGAACCACGTTGCTGAGTGGCCCCAACATCAACAGATCGTCTGTGAGGCAGTGGTGGAAAGGGCATGCTCTGCTACAAGGAGCTCTACCTTCAGGGCGCCCAGATTTCTGCCACCTCTCCAGTCTCACCCAGGAACTTCACCTTCTATAAAGCCAAGACAAAGCCCCTTCTAGGACTCCACTTCCCACTCTGCCTCCAGCCTCTCCGGACTCCCAGAGGTTGTGTGGGAGTCAGAGTCTCATCTCCCTCCATCTACAAAAGTCCCCATAGCCTCCAAAGGGGACATATGATCAATATCACACATACACACACACTACATCCTTGACCAGCGGAGGTCAAGACCTACCAAGCGCTGGAAGCGGCCCCTATAACCAATGTTAGGCCCATTCCTCTCAAGTCCCTCTCCCGACTCATCTTCACCACGGGATATCTACATAATCAAAGTGACAATTTCGTTTTAGGGAAAAGTGGGATCAGTGTTGAACAGTGATGAACAGTGTTTAGGCCAGTGAATTCAGCACCAGAGAGTAACAGTGAGCCGTGACCCACCAGTGAGATAAGTACCCCAGAGACTGACCACCATCTTCTGACCAGGAGGTGCTAGTCAATCCACCCTGAGAACAACAGAGGACTGGCTTCACACTGACTATGAGATAAACACAACACCATCCAGCAGAATGAGGTACTGTGACACCACCCCACACCACCTGGTGTTCCCATGACCACGTGAGGTCCTTCCTATCATCACCGAGGATGACCACTTCACCACATGAACACCACACCACCCGGTGTTCCCGACCAGCCTAGGCCGGACCATCAACTGCAAACTAAAATAATTTTATGTTCAATTCATATTCCTTTTTCTTTCAGTAATGAAAGCTTTTTGTTAAACGACCCACCTACCTATGTCTTTGTATGTAATAAGTCTTTTTGTCCTGTATATTTTCAGACAGGACTTCCAGAACTTTTCAATAAACCATTAATTAAAATTATTTATTATTATTACATTCATACATACATACATACAGTACATACATACATACATACAGTACATACATACATACATACAGTACACACATACAGTAATATCTTCCTCAAACCGGAACTCTCCGATAGCCAGAATTGAAATTTTCTCGGAAAATAGTTCCCAAAGCGAGATTTCTGGAAAATTCCGGGATAAGGGAGTTTTCGGGTTCGAGATGATGCAATGGACAATCTCTGGACTACTGAAAATTTTCGTTACCGGAAAATTCCGGGAATAAAGGATTTTTTCTGGCTTTCAGAATTAGTCTAGTTACCGAATCTCTCATTCCCAGTAGTGCTCTGCACCAATTGTTCAACTAGAGGAAATATACAGGCATCCCAGCGTTCACGGAACCCGGGTTCGCGAATTTAGCTCTTCTGAATTTGTAAATTATGACCAATAATTTCGTGATACGACACGTAAATCGCTATTATGGAAATTAGAGTAAATTTTAACAATCTAAAAAAATCACTATATAAAATTATAATTTTTTGTTAAAAATTATAATTTGTTTCAGTATGAATTTCTTGGTGTTTGCTGCGCCAAAGTCACTCCATTGTTTACATCCACTGTGCTCGCATGTTTCTGGCCCAGCAGTTGGGTTTAACTTTTACAAACATACAGTAAGTACAGTACAGTGCATTACCCTTATTCAAGGTGACTGGAAAGAGGCCATCAAGTGGAAGTGACGCAGTAGTGCAAAGCACAAAAGGTATTACATTGGATATTAAACGTTTTAAGAAGGTACAGTATATCATAAATTATTTAATGTACTGTATTGTATGTGTTTATAAATGTTTATTTTCATTCATAAAAGTGCTCGAATTACTTTTTTTGGACGAAAAAATTCCTAAGGAACGCATCTCCAGTTTTATAATGGAAGTCAATGGGAAAAATAGGTTTCAGTTCGAATTTCACGATACGGTCAATTTTCCAGGGCGCAACCCTTCCGTAACATAGGATGCCTGTATATACAGTCTCTCCTCACTTCACGGCAACCCGACATCTGACGGCCATGGTCGTAAAATATATTTTCCACATTAATATTTTCAAGTCCTGGCGTTAGTGATCACGTTGGTACGACAAAATTTTCATTTGTAATTCCCTTTAAAATGGCTGGAAGCGTAAAAGTGAGAGATTCTGGTGCGAGATGAAAGAGCACCCATTTTAAATTTCTGTGAATTATTTTCGCTTTTTCAATTACGACCAAATTGACTTATGACCCTGGTCGGGATGGAACCCCTGTCATAAGTCGAGGAGAGAGACTGTATATATATAATTTACAGGGAATAGCCCACCCAGGCACATGTCATCGACCTACAACGGGCCCCAAGCAAAAAATACGAAAAAAAAATAATGAAAAGGAAAGGTTATTAATCTACACCACCGAAGATGCAGGAAAACCAGCTCTATGAGTGAGACAGATTGTATGAGATGGAAAACAATTGGTGCAGAACACTTCTAGGGATGAAGATTTCTACTAACCAGAAGACCTTTTTCAAACTGGAAAAATTCCTTGTCAAATTGAAAGGTTCTGAGTGTATAAACTAGAAGTCTTGCACGGGTAGACACTAGCCTCCCCTCGAGAATGTTTCTGGGTGCTAGAGATGTTTTCCTTGAGCCCTAAACTACCAGAACTGTAAATGCAGTTCTAATGAGTTAGAAACCCATTTTTTACT